GGGTTATCCAAGACTTCCCACCAGGCCTATAACGGACTCGAGATACTTCAGTGGTTAAAGCGCGAAATTCAATAACCGGAAGGTCGTGGTTCGAAACCAACAACATCACCATTATCGACAGCATAACATCAGTGTTCAGAACCGATGCTTCACTGCCGTATTCGAAACCAACCTCTGTATCTCTACTGTTCCTGTCTAAGCTTGAGCAACCTGGCAATATCTCAGACCCCGTGTTTCCTTCAGGTAGCATGGCATCTACGCACCAAAAGGGTGCTACGGCCGAACAACAGACTTTGTGCCGCAAATGCAGTCGAAGAATACTGTGAACGAGATACTCAGCGGGGACTTAGTTGAGTCCTCCATTAACATAAAACCTGTTTTTTTTCAGATAACAGGCCATTCAAATGAAAAAGCGACACCCGATATCTGTTATTACTCATTACACTCAAATTTGGAATTCGTTGATTAGAGACTTTAAAGATGTCGTTTCGGTGAACTGGAACCCGTTAGGATGTAAAGTTGCAATACAAATGGAGAAAACCTAAATGCAGGAATCTACGAACGGCTATTCTCTGTCCTTAAAAGAAACTGGTCAATTTGTGGCGCACTTGAGCACGAATTTAAGCCTTGAGCTGCAAATTACTGATTCCAAAGCCACCATTGATTGAGTCGTAAATTCGAATCCTGTCATGCTGTAGGCGATAAAGTGTTAATCTCTGAAGCAAATGAGGTATCCGCGAACACAAAAAAGTGATGGGGAAACAAGTGAAAATTATTCTTTCCGAAGAGTATTATAACGCCACGGCGATGACTTTAGGGTCCACTGGAATATTCATCGTCTAGGAAAATTGTTGGGTGTGGATCTGACTTGAGTAGACCGTGCCCATACGTTTAATTCAAATCAAAAGCACTGGATTCAACGTGCGGGAAAACTAGATTATTTGATGTTCTACTGGAATCAAAATCCGGATGAGCTGCTGAGGCAGTTTATACGCTCCACGGATGATATCATTAAAAGTGTTCACAGCTAATGACAGTATATGATGGATAAAATGGGCTACTTTAGGTGGTATAGCTCTAATTTTAAACAATTCTCATAAAGAACCTTTAGACGTTAAAGGATAATGGATGTAGTAGTGTCGTTAGGAGGCCTTGGGCGATAGAAAAATAGCCCCAAAGAGTCGAACAGGAATTGCCCATTGTTTTTTTCGATTCAGACGGGTATAATAGTTACTTCCGCTCCGACAACTTCTCTAACCTAATAAATTATCATCCTTTTGAGCAACAACAACAACAACCAATCCGCAATTCTTCGGCTCTTATTATCAGTAAACACATCAAGAGTAATCGAGTAAGAGAGTTGTTTCGTACTGACCAGTCACACCAGGCTAACCACAAGAAAGCAGGTCTGTTTGACACTCTGCAACAAGGCCGGAGGCAAAAACGATTGTTTTGTGACTTTGTGTGGGATAAAAGGTCCTGGTAACTAACATGCAAATGATGTCCATCTACTAAGAGCATCCCAAAGGCCGGGTGATGCAGAAAAGACAGGAGTCTCAAGGTTTGTATTTCTTGAGAGTTTTTATTGTCACTCTAAAGCTGCTTACTGAATTACTTTAGAAAAGCCAGCTTATGAAACCGATTTTTTTTAGCAAACAATGACTATAATTTATCTATCCTAGGAGGTTGTCACTTTGAAAGACGCAGTTCTTGGGATTGTTTAGGTGGCCAGGTTGACGAACCCGTTCGGTCAAGCTGCCTTCTATGCTGCAAGATTCATCCCGGACTGGCAATCACAGCAAAACTCAAATAGGAAAGCGAAGAGCTAATAATGTGGGCAAATGGCGACGGCACATCTCAGTCCAAACGTTATGTAAATCGGACTGATGCGCAGAGGCAGCGGACAAATACCAACCTACTGTGAGATGCCCCGAGGCAAGAATTCCCAATAATAGTAATAAGGATGATTCCACACAGAAGAGTTACTTATCAAGACGGATGAATCATCTTCCACAAAGCGGAACAAGCATAACAATGGTAGACAGATGGCTCACAAATCGGTTGAATATAATCGACAATCCGGTAGAACAGATGAGCAATTTGAGAGAATTTAACACGAATAACAATGCGTTAACAAGAATACCAGATGTTGCCATTTTTACTAAGGGCAGATTCATGCACACTGCTTCACAGAGCGTACGAGAGAGCACAAGCAACTGCCCAACAGCACGAGGAGCCGTGTCGATTGTCCAAAAGGACTGAAATAGTACTGGAGAAAAACGTGGTAATCCTATTTTCGAGAAATACACTCATTTGCAAATCAATTTGGTTTTCACGGAAGACTCAATTGAATCTCTCGTTTATGATATCCTCCAGCTGAATGCGCTGCACACAGGCCGCCTCATGATTCAGTTGGCACGATATTCGAGATATCGCAGTATATTTTCATGAAGGAAAACCGAATTGATTTGCAAATGAGTGTATTTCTCGAAAATAGGATTACCACGTTTTTCTCCAGTACTATTTCAGTCCTTTTGGACAATCGACACGGCTTTTGATTGGCCCGTGACAGCGAGTCAGCAAGACACCATATTACATGACGGTGGATGTGAAGCAAGTATGGGAATGTCGATTGTATAAGACGGAGATTTCGTGCGAGATTTCATTCTGCAAGTGGCGTTAATCTATGCTGAAAGATTGCAAAGCACTGTGCTTCCCAGGATAGACCGGCTTCACTTGAAACAGGAGAATGGTTGGTACAAACCACGAACGCAGTAAATGGGGGCAGTGTTATCAGAACAAATTCTTTCATTGCAATGTTGCGTCAGCTAATAGTCATGAATTACGGTCCTGCTAACGCGCATCCAAAGCCGTTTGTCAAACGCTACTAACAGTAATCCTTCAGCAGTAGCACCCTTTCACACCACCCGAAGGAAACACGAGGGCTTAGATATCGCCAGGCTATCGAAACCAAAAAAGGGACTTTCGAGATGCCAGAGTTGGATTCGAACGACGACCTTCCAGTTATCAGAGTTCGCGTCTCGAGCTCAAACGTTACATTGCTAGGTGACCTGTGGAGTGCGCTCGCGACTGCCAACAAAACCAGGAGAAAACGACCCAAATGCGTAGTGCATTGTCAGTCAAACTCACAAAAAACACGATATTATGCAAGTGGCTGAACAGCCGAGGGCATACGTCATCGAGTTGGATCGTCCTGTCATCAAGCTGCTGGCGCGCCAGTGGTTAATCAGACAGGTTAGGTTGACATCTCCTGAGGATGTATCATTCATGGCTTCGCATGAGACTGCTTTGCTAAGACTGTTTTGATTGTAGGTCAGGTTTTTATAATGACTAAACCAGGAGTTTGTCTCTTGTGTTTTTCAAAAAAAACCTGGGATAGCACGATCTGAATCGACGTGAAAAGACGAGGAGAAGGGATGAAATATCGTCGTCGAAAGCTAACGACTGTGGTCACTCCATTTTCATGGTTGTTCATCGGTACACAGAAGCTTTTGAACCTGGTTGCTGATCAATAAAAAGACAGAAACTATCAACAATATGAATACATTTTGAGCGCCAGCTGATCAGACAACAAATTCACGCCTCCGTAGAGCTGAGAATTCCGACTTGTGCACAAACTACGGGCGATCAGGATATCAGATTAATTCCTTGTTGGGTTGGAGAGTGGTTAGTTCCTGATGAAATGTACAGCTTTTTGTTGGCATACGCAGAAACTACAAGTAAAGAGGGTATTATATAAACCGGTGCGGGGTCCCATGGAGACTAACATATGGACGGTCTAAGCTGGATTAGGGTCTGGACCTTGTTCCGGTTTCTGAAAAGTAGCAAACATCTATAAACTGTCACCAGAAGGTTCTAGGGCAGCTTGCTAATAAACTTGCTTCGGAGTTGACATGATGAAAACGAAGTCTGAGAGGCGGACTCAAAGAGACAGATGTGAATGGTTTCATGCTATTAGTCAGTTTTCCGTAAAAGTTCGGCGAGCCTATGCCTTGGATCCACAGGCGAGTGCTCCTTAAATGGGAGAGGGAGTTGCTGCTCCGCCGAATACAGTAAGTGGAGACCCGGCTGATGAAACTACGCGACAGCCGATGTGGTATGAAACCGCTGGCATATGCGCATTTTTTGGCATTATGTGGGCTCGAAAACAGCCACGTCGCCCAAGCCTGGATAGGGGGAGCGTTATTGTTGTTAAACAAAAAAAAACCTATGACTCAAAAGACTGATCACAAGGAAGCGATGGTTGGCGTGAAACTACCAGGGTAGTTCAATGTATAGGAGCAATTCGCCACAAGGGCTCCAACTCCCAGCCTGCGGGCCAGCAGACTCCATTAGCCTGAACCCTACCGAATGAAAGATCTGATATTGGCGAGCGTCAGGCGACAACCTCCCGTAAAGCCAATTGCAGCATGGAGGCACACAAACCGTTCTGACGTTTAGTCTCTTCTTCACTAGGATAAAAAGTATGCAATCCAATTAGGGACTAAGTCAACTCAAACGCTATCCTATGGCTCTTTCAAACGGTGTTTGCAAAACGGTAGTTATTCTGACTGGTTTCATCTCTCAGTCGATAAAAGCGGTCTTCCAATGAGGGACCTCGTAGTACTAGCTTCGGTTCCGCTGTGAATTTGAGTCACGCTTTATTATGCACCAAATAGGATGAGTTAGACAGCCCCCTTTGGGTAGCTTCATTAGTTGGGGTGGGGGGAGAGAAGACCGTAGAAAAGCCTATCACAACCTCATGCAGGAGAGTGTTAGGGAATCAGTATTCTGGGTTGTTGATAAAAGGACACAGTGTGGTCACCGAAACTACAAGTGCAAGCGTAGAGGATACGAAAGTGACGGTTTTGGTTACCAGCCTGTTTGTTAATTTTTTACGAGAATCGAACTGTCATGTGTGAAGATGGGTAGATCCCCGAACACCCATGCTACGTACGCCGCTGTAAAGTGAAAAAAGAATTCATATCATACAGAGGGTGATTTTCGTGGGGGAATGAGCGTCATGAAAGAGATTAAAAAAGTAAACTTTGTGTAGGAAAGTGAAGAAACGGATAATCAAGTGAGGATCTTGATAAAGAAAGGGAAAAAAGGAAAGAAAAGGGGTAAACTGTACACAGCAACAGCCGGAATTGTATATGAAGGGGTCAGCCAGGAAGTTCAGATTTTAAGCGATTGGTCAAAAACTCAAAGAAGGACAAATGAGGTTGCACTACAGTACTTGCGGCAGACTGATTCCGGGTATATTCCCCTTGACAGTCGGGTTCGTTCGGTCCAAGGCGATAGGTTCCATAGTCCAGTAACAGTGCAAAGAGCCTACCAGCAGAGCAATTTGTGGAATAGATCAGTCGAACGATAGATCCCAACTATAAGAAACAGGGAAAGCAAAATAGAGAGCTATGAGGCTAATTTATGATGCACATGTGTGGAAGCAAGCCAATTGGTAGAGAGCATAGCGAAACCCAGATCTGTTCGAGTGTGGGAGAAAAAGTATACTTAGACGCTGCTAATACAAAGAACAGGTGGACACCTACAAAAGCTTTATAATCATGGAAAATACTCATAAGGTCGATGAAAACTGTCTGACGAAGAGTTTTAAACAACCCTATGAGTAATTTCCGCCAATAAAATATAATGATATGTCTCGAATCTCCTATTGACTAAAACATGAGGCGGCCTATGTAGCACATTCAGTTGAAGAGGAATGTTGAGTCGCCCGTTAAAATCAAAACGGTGTGCAAATGAGTGTATCTCGAGAACCTTAGAATAAGTTTTAACGAGGCTAACTCCTCACCGTTCCCCATCAATCTTCACGATGACACCAAGCTCAAGGGAATCTGAGTTGTGGCGGGTATAGCCCGCCGAGATACGGTAACACACAAGCCAGACTATAAGTGCACTGCAGTAGACAATAGACGGCAGGACTTGAGCAACGAGATAACAGTCAAGTTTTATGTTGTAAATTCAGTTCGTGAGATACCCATCTCTGATACCTACCAGAAGACTTCTCGGTTGCTCAACACAGTTTGACCGACACAAGGCGGTCGAATTTGAAGTTCCACATCTTGAGGGACAAACGGGCTTCAAGAAGTTATAATAAGGATTCATACATTGAAGCTCACGCATGAAAAAGGTAGTTAGCACTAGGGTCGCCTTACATTACCCACAAAAAAGGGATCGAAATAAGTCCAGATTTTAGTTTGAAACAAGTGTCTTCAACTCGGCTGCACAGTGTGGTGGGTTCCTGAAATCCCTAAGTGAATCTTGCAAAACCCGGTTGACACTAGTGATATGAATGCAACCGGAACCAATGTCTGCATTAGGGA